TACAAGAGGGCAGTCATGAAATCCCGTGGAGAGGGGACCTTAGATGACTGCCTTCAAACGTTCCTGTTCTGTTATCGGTCCACACCAAATCCAGACGCTCCAGAATGCCAGTCTCCAGCTGAAGCATTGATGGACCTCAAGCTGCGCACCACTAACGAGGCGCTCGTCCCGACCGAAAAGCCACAAAAGCAATCTACTGTCTGCACCAAGCACAATGAATTCGTCGTTGGAGCCCCGGTATACGCTCGCGACTACCGGGCAGTTCATCCACGCTGGATCAAAGCAACCGTGACGGCCCGTCTAGGTGGTATGCTGCATGATGTCTCTATGGGTGATGACACATGGGTCCACCATCGCAATGAACTTCGAGCGTGACACGGAGAACCATCCACGCCAACCAGTCTTCCCTGTGCACCTGCCACTGCACATCTTGTGGGATACCATCGGAATGGTAACGCAACGGAAGCCCACGGTCGAAGTCGCCCAATCGCCGCAACATTTTGAGAACCCTTCCTTACCGACGGACAGGGAGAACCCGGCGATCACCGAAATCCCTCCAGGTCAATCCTCGTCAGAAGCGGTACGCATTATTTTCAAAGGGGTGTTGCTGGCATGTCAAGTAACCCCGCAAAAATGCACCACAAAGTCCAGTGCGTGTGCTGCGAGCCACAGAGTTCACTTCCTGCCCAAAGCGCAGCAGGGTCCAGTAACTCCGAGTCGGGGCGCAACTGGGCTGAAGTCACAGTATTTTTTTCTTAAACCCCCATCCCTTCGTGGTGATTCATTACACCCACAAAATGAAACATTGTGTGTGAGTCGTAAAAGAACTCAGATGTCCGCTTCGTCTTCTCTCGTCTCCTCTTGCGGGTCGTTGGGATCCTCGTGGTGACGTGATCGTGTGTGCCACTTGCTGTGTGTTTCGTGTGCGTCTAAGTCTCACGCTTCTAATCCCCCGGTCGTGTGCGTATCGTTGTTTGTTTTCGAGGATTCAGCGTGCCACCTGAATACGCGCATGAATAGGGGCCGTGCTCAGGTTACGCTTGCTTTTCGTCTAAGCTACCGCGACCAGGTCTGCGCAAACCCATTACAGATTGATGGCTGGGTTCTCCAGGCTTCGCCGCAGATAAGTGATTAGCTACTCTGCTATTTGTAATGCAGTCACCAATTCAAAGTCGCTCTTGCATTTGTTCCGTTATTTTGCTGTTCCATGCTCCACTTATCGATTGGGTTTCTCCCCCACTCATTTCGTATTGATGATGTTATTGTTTATTCATAATGTTAGTAAGACTGCAATTCGCTTCACGCGTCTATGTTGATACAATTATCTGGTCACAATTACCCTCCATGCTGTTCCGAGCTGGTTATGGGATGCAACCAATACCAACTAGCCTTCACCGTTACTGGGTATTTCTTTGCTACTTCGGATGATTTCCACTTACGGCCCCCTTTCACATAGTCTGTGGATGTTGCACCAGACGAATGACCAATCCAAAGCGTCCATATGTGAGATTAAATCTTCTGTGTTCCTAAAAATTTCTGTGTCTCTGTTTCAAGGCGCTACAGTATATATATATATATATATATATATATATATATATATATATATATATATATATATATATATATATATATATATATATATATATATATATATATATATATATGCAACAGTCTATGAATAGACATTGCACCATCGGAAACCATGGAACTCAAAACAAGGTACAGAAATAGTAAAAGAAAACACAACACAACAATGTCCATGGTTTCCTCAGAGGGCGAGTTACTACCCGGTTGCCCAAGCCGAAGTAGGGTGTTGACTTAGGGGACACCACCCCGAGCCTTTGGCTGAATAGCCTGTCCGCAAGGCAGCGGAGCGAATTCAGGGAATCGGTCCCATTGGGAGCCGGTGACTGATTGATCAGTTCATACGCCTTTCGTTTGTTCCTTTGTCAAACAGGGGCCCAATGCTCCCCAGAAGTACAGCACGATGTTGCTGGGATACAATGCTTCGCCAGGATGAAGCAAGGGGCAGTGACTTTATTTAGTGGCGAGTCACGTCCGCCACGTCGCAGTGTTGTTAAACGGACATATGTGGCTTTTTATAGGGAGAACGCTTGCCAGGCGAAAACCCACCACATCCTGGAACACTGCCGCCGAACCATTTGCTGGAACGGGAAAATCCCGAACCACCCAGCTGGCACCACGAGGAGGTTGTTCGGCAAGCCAGTGCCGGGTGCTAATTCACTTGTCATGGTTTCACTTATACTGTACCCATTCGTTGCACCTTAGTAATCATGAAACTACCGTAGAAATGAAGTTCTTGCGAGTTACGGCCTTAGACTGGTTTTCAACGACTTACCTCATTTTGCTATATGTCATGACGAACGAACATGCCAATTGATATAACTCTCATTGGGGCACATACTTTGATTCTCCAGCGTCATCAAAACATTAGGGCGTAATCAGCCTTGTAGAGGGACTAACTTTTTTTGCACATTTTAATGTATTCGTCCCAGCGACTCATAAGCTACATAGCACCGTCCCTAATCCGGAGATGCACCGGACATGTTTCGCCCTATGGGGGCGAATGTTGTACGTATCTTCCGGTCCCCTACCGGGGATCGAACCCTTAACCACAAGAGGCTGGCACCAACTATCCAGCAGCTTGAGCCATGGGAGACAGTGGTCGGGCTGCATATTTATCAAGGACACCTTAAAGATATTGACTTTTTGATAGAAAGATGTATATACTCAGCATTATATCCACTACACTGGCTCCAGGAGACAGTTGGTCGTCGCTGGAGGGGACGGAGTGCACCGTCCTCGTGACGATGCTAGGCTCAAAGAGTGGTTCCATGCAACCTATGTGGAACGGGCTTCGGTCCAGCCACCGCCTCGTGTACGTCTGGTGTGTATGCTTTCCCAATTAGGCTGGAATGCTTCCGTTCTGCTTGTTGAAGGAGTGTGAGCCGGCTCCGTTGATGAAACGTGGCTCCCATCCGCATGCCTCCCGGTCTTATTCCTTCGGGTTTACACCGGATATGGGGTGTGTGGGTGGAACTATGGGTGGTGCAGCGCAAGCCACTCATGGTCCCCTTTGTAGGCGCAGGCGTCCTGTGACTGTCCCCATGGACGTCACAGTGACAGGCAAATCCGGATACGGACGCCGCCAAATCAATCAATCATCCACTACACTATGCCGTAGGCTTGGTTGTTGGCTTTAGACCATTATCAATCCATAAGCGCGGTCGGTGGTTATCTATACACGGTCGGCACATCGCGAATATTGTTACTATTGAAGTTGAGCTCGCTAACTTAACCCACACCGCGGTACTTTATCGTGTGCTCCAGCACAGCTTGAGTTGGCAGTCGAACACAATCATTGGTTCAGATTTAAAAGTCGATCTAGTGCACACCAATTATACTCGATGTACTTGTTCAGTTCCTAATTGTTGAATCCATTGCCCTGTTGTATAGAGTCCACTGCTTGTTCTCCGTTTCGCTTAATGCTGAATGATGACAAAACGTTCCTCTCGTTCTGTCGCTTTTGGGTCGTCAGTACCATGTAGCATGGAAATTCAAGTGGTTCAGATAAAGTGATTGTCAACTATTTCTGGTCCATAAATTGTGTAGTACCCCTATTCGCATCTTTTTATGAATCTTGATCCGTACACAATAAAATGCAATTAGTTACTTTAATTTACATGGCCAAATAGTAATGTTTACACTTTAAAATGAGTCAACTGAGACTTGAAATTCGTCTTCTCCATTTGGATCTGATTGACCGCAGGCGGCCCCCAGCACGGGAATGATTCATTTCACTGGCCGTATTATTAGGAGGGGATGCTTGATGCCGTTGTGACATGGCGGACACCGACAGTTGACCAGGCCCATGTATATATATATATATTTGCAAAAGTCTGCTAACAGACATAATGCCATCAGAAATCATGGGTTTCAAACGAAGGTACAGAAACAGTAAAATAAAACACAACACAACAATGTCCATGGTTTCCTCAGAGGGCGAGTTACTACCCGGTTGCCCAAGCCGAAGTAGGGTGTTGACTTAGGGGACACCTCCCCGAGCCTTTGGCTGAATATCCTGTCCGCAAGGCAGCGGAGCGAATTCAGGGAATCGGTCCCATTGGGAGCCGGTGACTGATTGATCAGTTCATACGCCTTTCGTTTGTTCCTTTGTCAAACAGGGGCCCAATGCTCCCCAGAAGTACAGCACGATGTTGCTGGGATACAATGCTTCGCCAGGATGAAGCAAGGGGCAGTGACTTTATTTAGTGGCGAGTCACGTCCGCCACGTCGCAGTGTTGTTAAACGGACATATGTGGCTTTTTATAGGGAGAACGCTTGCCAGGCGAAAACCCACCACATCCTGGAACACTGCCGCCGAACCATTTGCTGGAACGGGAAAATCCCGAACCACCCAGCTGGCACCACGAGGAGGTTGTTCTGCAAGCCAGCCAAATGTGTCAGCTTATACGCCGTAACGGCGCTTCGCTGCCGCGCGACCACCACCAGTCGCGCGCCGGCTGAGTATACCGCAAGGACGCCCACCCCTACGCGGATTCGAACCGGTGACCTTATGGTTGGAAAGCAAACGTGCCGACCACTCAGGCACCGGCCGAGTGGTTGCGCCAGTTGTGGTACGGCATAGCCGTGCATTGCCGTACTCTTCACTTTCGCGCTTCAGATGCCTTAGTTTTTCCTTAGAGCGCCGATTCTCCCACTACTACAATAGCGTTCACAAATTCGGGTAGTGACTTGTATTGAATCATCAGCCACGCCGTTTGTTGCACTTATTCCCTTGTTGTCAACTGTTGTGTCGGTTTCGGTTCGTACCAGTTAAATCTCTGTTGCTGCTCCATCCATCTGTATTCACCTGCGTTCGCCACACATAGTCGAAGGTGGAGGACCGAAACCACTGCGGCACGTCTTCACATACTGTCATCATTGGTTACATACGCATGCTATTTTCATTTCCTCAGGTACTACACGGCAATTGTGTATCAGGAGAACAGCTCGACGGTGTTCGGCCTTTGTTTGACGAATTGTTACGTCTGGACAATCTTAGCAAAGCTCATGTGGTAAGCCTACTGTGGGATAAATCTTTCAATGCTGGTTAGCTGAGCATTACTGCGTCTGTTTTATTAATGCATCACGATGCCTTACAGTCATTTCGTGTTTCACCGAGTAGGTTGTACCCTGCCCGATTAACATACCAATCAGTTGTAAACTACTCTGCTACCCAATCCGACTACATCGTTTTCTATTTTCTTCAGCGAGCGACAAATCTCTCAGATTTCAATTGTTTCATACCACATTCGTGTGGACGCATTACAATAGTATTATCAGCTGATAAGACACACTACGCTGGTACTGGCTCATCTGCAGACTGTCTTTCAAATCACACGCCTTTGTGATATGGGCAACTTCGTATTTGGACTCGCAATCAGCCGCGTGAATGTCGCACACCACTATGTCATTCTCAACCGGCTTGTTTGTTACCTTACGGCTGTATTGATGCTCCGAATGCGAGTTGAACGTTTTGTCGGCGGTACTTTGAGCTCTATTCATGACTGCGGTAATGCAGTGTGGTGTTTGCGGTAACTCATATTTCTCTTTGCATTTTTCAGTGGCTTAACACTTACCCGACTATTTTTTACGATGTGTAACGTTATGCATGTACTCTGTAATCCGTAGAAGGTCATGGTGTGGAGCTCGTATTGGTTGTGCTAATTGACTTGCTCACGGTGTTGGGTCGATATGTAGAGTAAAGGAGAAACAGTGTATCGAACCAGCGTTATGGACACGGATCGGGTGTCTGTTTTGGTCTGTCATTACGGCATGTAGCTTCACCAATCGTCCTTTCCCACAATCGCATGTTTAACTCCATAAACCTATCACCACATTTTAGGTCATTTATTCCTTTCTTTATCTATCGGCGGATACATTTGTTAACATCAATGTTAACGCATCATTACTTCGTACTGGTACTTCGTTAACACTCAGCAATAAACCGAGAGGAACAGATGGCGGAGAGAACCAATGGCTTAAAGTTGTACCTAATCCCCATCGCAATACCCTGCTGTCATGATACGTAAATCTTGGAAAGGCCATAGACACGGGCTGTCATGCAAGCATAAGGTGATACATGAAGCGTCAATCTGCTTGCGACTTTCACTACCTCGTTTCGCAACCAATATTATCCACAGGTAATAAGATCAAACGTAATTTAAATCGGCAGTTCGATCACGGATGTGTTACTGGCGTCCAGTGTGTGCTAGTGGCTGAGACCGCGGGCGAATGGAATCGATGCGATACCGTCGGCATGGTGGCCAGTCAGACGAAGGCCGAGCACACACGACTAGTGCGGCCCAGCGGAAAGAGGAAAGCAGCCGTATGGCGATTGGATGGCGAACGCCTGAAACCATTGTAGCATAAGGCGCAGCTTTGGCAGATGGTCAACCGAGGATGCATCAGCCGTATAGATGAATAACCAATCAGACGCAGTTCATGAGACTTGATCACGCTGAACGAACCTTGCCCAACACATGGGAGAAACGGTACACTGTCGGCAGGCGGAAAATAGGATTAGTCGGCCGTACGGCAGATGGATGGCATACGCCTGCAATCATGTCAGCAACACAGGCAACTGTGTCAAATAGCCAATCGTGAGATCATCGACTCAGTGGGCGGACGGACATTCAGACGCCACCGTGCAGTTTATCCGTGATGGCAGCGACGAGACCCAACGTACCTATGCCTTGTGTGTGTGTGATCTCAGCAGTCTAACAACTAGACACAGAGCCAACAGAAAACCATGGAGATCAGCGGATAATGGACAGTCATCGCGTCATAACCATCGTGTCATAGTAGTTGAAGGTGAGCAACACACTTCAGCTAGTATGCCGCCGGAAGAAAAGAACATTTTGAAAAAAGTAGAACAACACATTTTTAGTTTGTTTTCCAGAAGCTGATTTTTCTTTCTTTTTGTCGTTTTCAATGTTTGAAGTATTAAACATGTGAATCAGTACAATACTGTACACAATTCTTCCACTGATTCCGGTTGCAGGCCATGTCTTCAAGAGTGTTAAGCCGTGGGCACTCCTCATCTTTGGGTCTCCATCCTGGAAGTCGTACGGATCCAATAGCGGCTAGACATTTGCTGCCGCCATGTAGAAGGCTGACCACCACGCGGTCGCCTCCAGCCAGATCCTTGACAAGCGAATAGAGCGCGATATGGTGGACACTCATTTGCCATGCGTAGGACGTGACCGAGCCATCTCAACTGGCTCAACAAAACCAGTTTGTTGAAGGGAATACTCGCATTCCACAAGATGCGATGTCGAACGTCATTAATATTAACTCGATGTTGCCACCAAACATGAGCAATCCTCCTTAAACAACCGTTATCGAAGGCACAAAGCCGACGTATGTCTTCTACGTGAATCGACTAGGACTCGCACCCATATAACAATACTGAGTAGACGGATGCGAGAACGTGACTTCGCGACGACGCAACAAGTGCCTCAGGTTGACAAATGCTGATTGAGCTTTAGCAATGCGAAGAGAAACTTCTTTGTTAATAGTGCCGTCAGCAGAAGCACAGTTCCCAAAGTAGATGAAACTACCTACCAGTTCAAGTTGTGCACCTTCGAGAATGAGCGTGGGAGCAGGTGAAAGCCAATCCTTGAGCAGTACTTTACACTTCGATGGGGCGAAGCTCATGCCATACTTAGAGGTTTTAACTGCCAAACGATCCAGAATGAGTTGCATACCCTGAGGATCGTCATCAAGTAAGGCGATATTATCATCATAATCTAAGTCGGTCGCGCGCTCACCCGGTAGAAGCTCTAGGCCAAAATGTTGGAAAACTTCTAGAGCATTCGACAGAACGTCTTCGATTGCGAAGTTGTAGAGGAATGGGGACAGAGGGCAACCGTGTCGCACACCGCTACTGACAGCGAATTGTGTGAAGAGCTGGCCATAGACCCTCACTTTTGATTTTTATTGGGCAGCACAATACAGTGGATGTTGTGTTCCTTAATGACCTCAAGGCAAGCAGTCGATGGTTCACGTGAATCCGTCAGGAAGACTAAGCGAGCAAAAGAACTCGATTGTTATCGTTGACTTTATTTCGAGCTTTCAGGTCAGTGGTTGCCCCACTCAGGCCTTAACCTATCTAACCTCATTTGGCCTGAACTATCTTCATTTGGACCGGTGAGGAGCAGACACACACCTGAAGCGTGCTCAGATTTAATTGTTGACCTAACGATCTGACTCGTCCATCGCCGGCACCAGCACCTCTAGCGATAATAACCTGACAGTATCCTGCCCTCACAATGCAAACCATAACTTCTCCATCTAACAGTCGCTTGATACTCTGGCCGTCTTAGGGGATACTCAACGGCTCATTATTGTGTCTTGGAGTACCCGCCGTATGTCTGATTTTCGACACGCAATCTCAATTAAGGCTATAGTTTGCTTTGAGGCATACTTATGCCATTTCGGTCGCTGCGACCGCATCCGAAGTGGAGAGTTTCGGAGCTAATTTCTCCCAACACTGCACTCCACGACTGACCGGTTTCGTCCTGATTTGGACTCGTCAGGTAGAGATAGTTTGATCTGAGTGGGGAGCCAAACACAGTGGTTGACGGCTTTCTTCCTGGTCACTAGGCCAGAGCTCCACAGCACCGCTTTACACGGCGGTTAGATTTTCATTATTCGGTCTTGGAGTACCCGCCATGTGTCTGAATTGCGACACGCAATCTCGATTGAGGCTACAGTTTGCTTCGAAGCAAACCTATAGCATTTCAATCACTGGGACCTGACGAGTCCAACTCAGGACGAAACCAGTCGGTCGTGGAGTGCGGTGTTTAGAGAAAGCAGCTCCGGATCGCTCCACTTTTGGATGTGCTCCCAGTGAGCTCCGTGTTTACCGTGCGATCCCCACCTGCGACACTGGCAGCACATTTTCATTGCGCCTGTCTGACGTTGACGCAGCTTCAAACGCCGGTCAAGCTGCGTGGGCATTGTTTTGAATCCCCGGGCTGAAGCTGCCCTGATTGATTGGATCCCAGTCAACAGTCGGATTTGCGCCGTTAGATTAGCTGGTTCGTTCCAGACTTCGAAGTCGCGCGTAGACAAACGGTGCGTGTTTGTCATTGCGGCTTGCGTCCCTACAAGCCGCAGCACTGATTCGGTGAAAGATGTTTTCTATCACCAACTTAACTATTTTTTTCGTTACAAAAGTAGCAGGTTACTGTACGGCTTGCTGGTGACCTAAACGCTCAAGTCGGAAAATTGTCCTCTGTTGAACTTCATCTGGGCGGCCAACATTGTGTAGGCTCTCGTAATGATAACGACGAGCGGTTGCTACACCTGTGTGAGGGTGTTTATCTGTTTCTCGTGTGAACTAACTTTTGACACAGCACCCGCAGAAGATTGATTTGGCGCCCACTAGCCTCGCACCAGCCATGGACGCAAATCGATCATATCGCGATGAGTTACCGCTGCATAGACAATGTCCAAAACTGTCGCTCGATTTGAAGCATCAGCGTTCACTCCGATCTCGCTATTGTGTGTGCCGACCTTCGGGTGCGTTTCGGTGGATATCCGCAAATTCGCTGCGAGCGCATTGACACAAGCCAACTGGCGAAGCCAGTTGTTCTGAATGCGTATCAAAGTGCGCTGACATCCGGGCCGAGTAAGCGCCCACTAAACACCGTCGGAGATCACTGGTTGCATATTTGCAAAACGTTACTACCAGCAGTCATGTCTTCATTTGGCAAATCAAATTGCCAACCTGGACATTGGGTCTCTACATATCTCTGGAACTTTTGGATGCTTGCCGACGTATTCCATCTGGAAGCTGATATAATGAGACTCGTAAAAATCTCAGGACAAAACTGCGTGCCAGCCTGAAGAGAGACCGCGAAGCCTGTTGATCTCATCGTGCATCGGAAATGGGAACAGCCGCTTCCGTTGGTAATGGTCGTAAGTTATTCCCTCTGAAAAAGGCAGCAGGATATTTGGTTTTAGCGAGACAATACGTGACGAGAGGGGGCAGTCGGTCCACAGCCTG